CAACACATGACACATACAAAGAGTACACGACTCGTGTTTAAAAAAAATCACATCTCAATGTGTTTGTGAACGCCGTCGTTTCGTTTTTTGTTTCTACTCTAATTCTATCTATAGGTTTTTTAGTTGTTGAAATTAATTTACACGAATACAATAACTACAGCCATCGGCAATGGTGTTTTATTTGTTTCGAAAATTCCAAGGACATGTCGTTTTTCAATTCTGTTCTTATAAGTCACAGTCGATTTTGTAACTATTTAATAATCATTTTCAAAAATATATTCAGTCAACACGGTCACGTTGGCGTCACATGAACATTTATTACGATTAGCTTGAAACCACATGTGTCGGCGGTACATAATTTTCCTATTGCCGTAACTTGTAAAATAGCATTGTGCGCATATTGAAACAATAATCGAAAACTTGACCACCCCCCCCCCCGTCTTGCTTGCCGGCACACCCCAAATTTGCGACTGTAGTGATATTTGCCATTTGTTGACCTCGATTATAGTGCTTCCCTGTAAACTTCTATACACAAAATATATCTGATGTGAATTTCACAATAATATCAAATATTATGTAGACACGCGAGAGTAAACGTGGTTGGAAATATTCAATCTACAATATCTCGTGCAAACGCAGCTGCTGCCATGCCGGTGTCGTGTTACATTTTTTTTTTTCTAATAAAATTAAAAAAAGAAATAGGTGTTTGGGGCCACGCCGACGGCAACGCTAAACGATTTCAAACGAACCGAAACCCGCTGTCACATATGTAAATAAGTGTTATGTGCTATTATTTTGTCGGCGAAAAAGGGACCCCCAAAATTAGTGTTAAACGCCCAAAGTGATTAATTATACGGATTTGTAAAAGTGCCGTGTTTACTACAAACACGAATGAAATTAGAAGCCGCGACTATACCACCCTATATAATATATAGTACATGATTTACTACAAGCCTCCTAGACATTTTTGTAATACAAGGATTTTTACCCGCGTTGTACGCCGCGCCGTATGTTCCTAATACAGGAAACACGAGTAATTATATACTACCCTGAATAAGTTATACGATCGCTTGATCCACACATATACAGAGTAAATATGTAAAATAATATATATATATTTGTTTTTATCGGAAGCAAGAAAAATCGAAAACACACAAACCTTCGTGCTTATTATTCTTGGGATTTTTACAAAAGACGGATAAAAAGCCAAGATCCTTTTTGGACAATTTTTAACACTAACAATTGGAAAATAAAGATTTTATTGTCGTTGAAGTTTATTGACTTCATGTCTAATGTAAACTATAAGAATTTTTTCAAATACATTTTAGACAAAATAATTTAACTATTTCACACGCAAACCATAAGCCTAAAATATTAAATATTTTTTTGTTTTAACAATTTAGCATATCTTTCGCGTCGTAACTCAAGACAGAGCCAGGTAAACAAATAGACAGGGCTAATGAATAATGACCCAGTAGAAAATACAGTGCCTATACTTAATGATATTAATTGCATACAATAGATTTTCATAATTTAATGTAACCCAATGGCCTTTGCCGCCGAGGGAAATAATAATAAAAAAATAAAACAAAAATAAATTTTCTAAAATGTATGAGATTTTTATACTGGGCATTACGGAACGCGAAATGATATTAAAGGAATTACCAAGCATTTAATGGTTCTTAAAACAATTAATGAACGTATGTACAAACTAGAATTAGATGTCGGCAATAGGCTCTGTCTACATATTTTAAGTAAAACATTGTTTTTTAATAAAAAAAACAATAAATAAAAATTGTTTTTAGTTAGAATGTTGAAAGAGTTTTAGATTAATCTTTCTTTGTTGAAATATTCTATAAATTAAGGATCACACTTTATACGATGACGACGAGGGCATGTTATTAAAGTAACGTAACAACTTAAACCCACATTTGAACTTTTCAAATTTTAATTTATTAATTTTTCCATGTGTAATGAAGTTTAAAATAAAATACATACTTCGCAGTATAAATTATTATAAAAATCCATATTCTATACACTTTTTATGGAAGCGCTAGATCTCTTTTAAATAGATTAAACTAAAAAAAAACAACACTTATTTGTCCTTCAAAGAAAATCATTTTACAAAACCCACCAATGCCTTGGTATACGCTGCTAAGGGGTTGCAGTTTAAACGCACATTGTAAAGGACCCCTTAGGGGCGGACCGCACAAATGACGTGGGCTTTAAAAGCTCTTGTCAACTTTAAAGTTTGCTAATGAGGATCCCCTCAAGGAGACGCCAACGACTCGTCGGTGTACAATACCCGCTGTTTTATATTCCATATAATAATAATAATTGGTGAAGTAAAATACACACAAAAAAAAAGCGTCTACTGTGTGTTTAGATTTAGGGAAATGAATATACCATAAACGCTTTACTTGTATTAACTCGTATTAGTTCGTAGCTTAACCGAACCATGCAAGTAGGTATTTATTTGTATACTATAGTTAAACTTAAACGTCTAACTATAGAGTAACTAGTAAGTATTGCCAATGTAAATAATAATTATATGATATATATATAATGTGTATATAGATATACGTTTTCGGTACCGAGAAAACAAAATGAAAAAATACATTTGTAGCTTAACCTCGTGGTTAGTCATCAAGAAATAGCAACGTATGATAATATTATTACCGTCTAAAATCAATCTCTAACTGCTGTGTAATCGTTATACTACTTAGCGTGTATACGTGTATCAATCTATTGTTATAAATTAAAACCGGTAAAAAAAAATAATACAATCTCAATTTTTATAAACAGTTTTACAGCCTATAGTATATATATATACATATATCTTATACATACATGTATCCTTCAACATCCTAAAAAAAAATTATCGACGCAGACTCAGCTGGCGACTTAACAGATTTTTATGGACAATGAAATTGTTAATACATTTATGGTCTGAACTCTTAGTTATCAAATTCGATTTATTTTGCTAATATAAAATGTCGATTATGGTACTTTTTAGTCTTAAAAAACAACAATATATATTATTTAAAAATTTGAGTTGATTTTAAGTTATAACTTATGACTCATTGTAATATTATGCTAATGAAATTCGTATTAAGAGAAAATAAAAATAAAAATACTATACAGTTTATTAGATAAGATAAAAGAACATGATCAAAAAACTTATGGCAAATACATTGCTCGCAAAAGATCTATTGATCTGCAATATACATTTGCATTCATCAGATAACACAGGAAGTGGTATCGTTTCAATTAACTAAAATATAGTACTTTATGATATGGCATTATAAAATAATGGCAAATTGAAGATAAACGAGTAATATCAAGTAGCAAAAATATATATTATTATTATAAATACTATGTAGTAGTATTAACGGCAGTAAACCATGATTATAGTGTGATTTTTAAAAAAATAATATTTAGGTATTATTGGTTAATTAAATTTTATATTAAATGTTTTTCAAAATGTAATTTACTATAAACAGTTAAATAAACAACAATATTTTTTAATAAAAAATATATTTTTATTATTTATATTAAAACTACTAACTAAATCAATACTGTCTGAATAAATGCATAACAACCTTTATGTTAATAGAAGTCAGAAAGTAATGGTCTATGCCTGTTTAAGAAAAAAATTAGATCAAAATTAGGAAAAAAATGATAAAACATCTACCTATTTTGTTACATTTCAGGTCGGTCACCAAAAGCTTTAAACACAGAATTAGGAACTCGTCTTAGGTTAAGATACATACTCTCGAGGGTCTATGTTTTTAATTTTTTTCAAATTTAAAAAAGTTCAACTTTTTGGTCTCGTATTTTCGATATTATAATCCTGTTAAGTTAGATTTAAGTAATTTTCCTGGGCACATTATATAAATGGTATTGAAACTTACATAAAAGAAATACAAGTAAAATAATCATTTTAATTGTAGTCTTATTTCTTGTTGTATATACTTTTCTTTTATAAAAAAAAATGTACTATCTGTGTACAACATAATAGAAGTCAATAACAAACATTCGCAAGAAGTAAATGATATTTAATTGAATATTAAACATGTGAGCGTGTCGCGTGAGAGAAGTAGGTGATATCTACCTACATACTATTTTTCCAGTAACTCTTTTGAAAACGTGTGTGGAAATTTAAAACAAATACAGAGTAAAAAGTGATTAAAATACAATTTTATTTTTAGAAGCTAGTTTAAAAAAAAAGTCACTTGACCTTTTTAGTTTGGTTTTTTGTGGTTAAGACTTAATATTTTTATGAATGATTACAGGAAAAATTACATAGTTGGTCCAACTTAACTTATAGATAGTATAGGAACACAATACATTTCTAGTTGGAATAACACTAAACAAATAGTTGACCCAACTAAATATTTAGCTGGCCGAACTTAATGTACAGTTTAAAAATTATATGTATACTTAAATAAATAAAATTTAATATACAGTACTGTATAGTTTATACAGTTCTAAAAATGTAGTTGGTAGGTACGTCACCTAATTTTTTTGACCTTATTTAGTCGTTCCAACTAGAAATGTATTGTGTCCCCGTGTTCACCATAATTTTAGTAGGACCATCTATGTATTTTTCCGTGATTTCGTCTTGTTTACTAGGTACAATTTGGGGGGGGGGGGGCTGTGGAGGTTCAGTGTGCTTAGTACACTCAAAAATTGTCTGTATTCCTTGCCTTAAGACTTAAATTACATGGAGCCTGGAGGTTTATAATCAACGCTTAAGCACACCCAGTTTTTTTAATGAAAACGCACCCTTGCTCGCTTCCGGACAGTACAGTAAAAGGCCAAACCGCTGTCGTTTAAGTCAAACACTAGGTATAAACATAAATTACAAATATTTACTAGAGATGGACAACAAAATCCAGAAATGCGGGTGTAGTAGTGTTATTAGTGCGTTGTCTGTCGATAAGACATTTTCTGACGTGTGGTTAGTAACGTGTGTAGTCAAGGTAGGCGGCACTCACCTTGAAAATAATTCAAATTTCCGTTGTACTCCAAACGCAACTTTAATCCTTCGGCCGACGACTTTATCTTCAAATGTATTCGGTTCGCAACGGGTTAATTTCAATAACGGCAGTATTTTTGTATGATACCAAGGTAATGTTTTTTTTCCTAAAAACACATCTCGGCCTGTCGTAGGCACAAAATTGCGTCGTTTAATTTACTTAGACTTTAGAAACAAAAGTCGTCGGATCCCGGTATCGTCTGCACTGATGAGACCGTCGCCAGCGGGTACCTTCGGATGCTGCTGTAGTTGGCGGTCGTCAAACTGCAGGGGGCGGCGACCACGGCGGCCAATCACGGGGCGTTGGCCGCCCGCACTGCCTTGCCGCGGTTGCGCGTCGCCTAGTCTATCGTCCACCGCCGCCGGTTTTTGCTCTATTTTCGAATACCCCACAAAATAATATACCAAACATTAACGTGACGTTAATAAATTATCATTTCGGTTATCGCACACAAAAATATGTCATAGGTGTCGACTTGTAACGTATCGAAGCTATGTGTTACCGAAAGTTCGCACGGTCTGTTCCTCAGTATTAAACAAACGATAATTAGAGTAGCGCGGGGATGGGGTGTGGGGATACACGCGAGATAAAAAATGTTTTCACTAATATATCGAAACATAAATAAAATCATACTGCAAAAAAAGGGTGTAAAGAATGGTTTCCATACCTTCAACGGAAAATCGTTGTGGTCGTTTTCTTAGTTTTTGACTCGATACCGAAAGTGAAATGTACCTAAAAAATACTCCTAACGAATTTGTCACTATTTATAGACTATTTTTCGGATATGTTTAGGTCATAATAGGTTAAACATGTTAAGGGTGCAGTCGTGCAGAAGTAAACTCTTTTTAACTTCCGGTGTTGTCTTTCAAAGTAAATTCGGTGGTCAATGTCTGATCTGTACGAAAAAAATGTTGTTTAAAGGCATTATTTCCTAGATCGAGTTATCATGGGTTCGAAAACACAAATTTAAAATAGCACTGTAGGTACTACACGATTTTGAAATAAAACCCAATTATATAAATTTTATAAGATTTTCTAGCATTTAAATTTGTTGTTAAACCTAAAAAAAATAAAAATCAGAATTTTCATATATTCTTTTGTGTTACAAAACTGAAAGTGCTATATAAAGTCAAGAGGTCAGTTCTGAATTCAGCAAAACATGAGAATAATAAAGACTAATTGAAAATATATATTTTAGAAAAAATACCACACAACGTTCTTTTTTACAACTTTGGAGCCGATTTAAAATATAACTAATCATGTTAGAGCAAAACTGGGGCCAGATTCGGATTCAGTGAAATAAAAAGTAATAGCATTACACGCGTTAATATATGTACCTATATTTTACGATATACCTACTTGTTTGTAATAACACACATATATTATATGTAACAAGATAGGTATACTTAAATTGTATGTATTTTATTACTATTATAATACTTGTGTGTTTTAAATTAAATTTTGACAAGTTTTACAAGCAAAAAAATATCGTTAAATTTGTTTTGGAAACCGGTTTTCTATCGGTTTTAATTTATCTACGCCTATACCTCGGTGCTCAGTTATAAACTCACAATCAGATGGTTTTATACATATTTATTCATTTATTGTAAACTACACTCTACAGGATTAACCCAACAGTTATCACACAAAATGCTAATTCAAAAACATAATAATTGATCCGTATTCCTCGTGTAAATAAATTTAAAAGAAAGTAATATATAATAGTTTGATTAATTATGGATACTTCTTAAAGCTCAAGAATTAGATGCATTAATAGGAAGTAAAATGAAAAATGTTATTAAAAAATTATTATTACTAAAAAGAACATTTGCACACTTTATAAAAAGAAAATAATTAACTATTTTTATTAATCAACTTTATCGTATCGGAATGACAAACAAAAATATTAAGTGTACAAACTTACAGAACTGTACATAGAACTTAGAAGGATAAAACCGGATAAAAAATGTTTTTTGATCATCTTTTGACCTTACAACGATTCGTCAAGAGCTTTTGCTCCACTTTGTTGCTGCTGACGCAATCGATTGTCGATTGCCTGCCAATATTTTCAATATATTTTACCGGCTCAAAACTTGGACCAGTTTTTACTTTTTTCTCCAGAATAACTGAGTTATTTATTTAAATTTTTATTACTCCTTGATTCTGGTTCAGGTTCCATTGCATCTAAAGACTACTTTTGATTTTACTACACTCACAGCAGTTTTAGCGCATATTTACCTATTCATAAAATACTGATCAAGAGTTTATCTAAATTATTGTAGATAGAGACCTCAGACCACGCTCGGACGTTTTTTATTTAATTAAAAACTCAAATAATAAATTCAATTTTATTTTCATTTGAACGAATTAAAATATAAAATTACTAGTATACTATAAGATTATATTTAAAATACAAATTTAATTAATGTAGTATATACAAATGTATTTTAAATAGCTATAATTATTTGAAATTTGTTTTTAAATAAAAAATATTCAAGTTTGTCGGGGACCAAGTTATTGATATTTAGATTAGATAGAATTTTGCATTTTTTTAAAGCGTATATCTTCGCAGCAAAAATCCTAAGTAAACATTCTAGTATAACTCCTAATATTTAAGATTGTCCATAGGTAAATATGCCCTTGAGCCACTCATTGCCAATAAAGGTTCGCTGCGTTGCAAAAATACAATGCCCGACTGCATTGACAATAAATATTAAATATCCATATAGATGCCTCTTTGCTATGTGAATATAATATAAGTGTACACATTTTAGCTCTACGTCAAGTTTTAGAAAAGTGATTATATTATAGACTATACGGCGGATAGCCTGTAGAGTACTGCCATTGGTTATTTTCATGTAAGAATTAATTTTATGATTTTTACAGTCGGCCGAGTTTCAATGTAAGTATATAATATTATACAGTTTTCCCGAAACCAATTGCCGGGTGTCAGCAATTTTCGTTAAATCCGGGTGCAAATGTCAACACTATATCCGAATAGGGAGGTGTATATCCCGGTAACCATAGCGACGGCACAAACTGTTCCCCTTCGGCTACCGTTGTCTCGTCGACCAGTCTCTTCCCACGTATATACTTGCAGTACTTACGTATATCAATGTGTATACTTATATTATATATATATATATATACATTGTACGTACGTCGGTTTGTTCGGCTATTTTCCAGCAATTAGACTCGTCGGTTATAAAAAATAAAATAAAAAACACACGAGGGTAAAGAAAATCACGAGAGCCCTCGACCGACAGATTTCAGTTTACTCATTGTTCTATAATGAACGGTTGTGTATACACGACACACGTCAAATAACTTACACCGGGGGTAAAAAAAAAAAAAAAATAATGATAATAGACTGTCTTAGATATTTGAACAAATAAACAGCGTTGGTATTGCAAATAATTGTGCCTATAACTTATGTTCAGAGAACATACGATTTGCGATGAGCAAATTTGATTAAATATATTTACTTATTTAAAAAAAACCGATCTTACACGCAATTACACAAAAAATACAACTGTAATATAGTTTAATTTTGACATAAATTGTTAGTTAATAACAGAGAAAGATACAAGGTCCGGATTCCCAAGGAACAGTGGAAGAAGGTATTGTAAAACAGAGCATAGTTCTTTTAAAATAGCAAATTTAACCGAAGTTATTTTTAAAATTCAATTTTTTTTCACATATTAAATGCTGACTAAGTTTCAAAGTTTAAACGTTATTTGTCTAGTCCTTACAAACATTCATAATGTGTATCCATGTAAGTTAATTATGTTTTTTAACATTCCTATACTGCCTACAAACTTATTTCAATTATAGTAAATAACTACTTAAGCCACCGTGTTATATTCAGCTTACAGTTTTTGTTACACTCACTTACACCTACAAATATTAATACACTTGAATAGTGTATGTAATTTTATGAAAAAACTATAGTATAATTAAAAACGTTTAAAGCTGTTTTCCCTGATTTTGAAATAGATGTAAAACTATGTGCATTAATTATTTTAGAGTAAAAATTAAGCATTTCAATTTTAGCTTTACATGTAACTATATTATATAGGAAAAAAGACATCTATCTATAATAATATTTAGACCACTAAGGATTTTGAGATCTATGGACTGAGTAGGTTAGTTTAGAAAACTTATTTGAAATGTTTAGTTTAAAAACCAAACAAATGAAATTTTAATTTTGAAACTAAATCAAAATTTCATGTACCTATTATGTATTAAAAAATATAACTCCATAGACGGAATAATTTGAATAAAATATGGTACTTAATAAGTTATCTATTCAATTTTTATAATGTTTTTAAGAAACCAAGTACATTAGTACATTTGTTTTATACCATTTGATATTTTTTCAAATTATTTATTTAGAGTAACATATTATTAAGTAAAATATTAGAATTTTTAAAAATAGACGGACGACCAGGCTGGATGATTCGGTATGGACTATCTTATCAAATAAAGAAAAGAAAATTTGATTTAAAAAAAATATCCTAAAAAAGTTTTTCTTTAACTAAACAATTTACGGCACCGATTTTTTATAAACATCTAGACTTATGAGAATACATTTTTTTAAGTTTATTTTTTAAATACAAATTTTATAGTTTAGCTGCTAAACTTAAGCACATTTCGAGTAGTGTTTTTAAATATTTTAAATATTAGGTAATAGGTACACTGATATACCTATTTTCAAACTACTCGGACATTTTTGATATGTTCTAACTTGTATTTTTTTTTTAAATCTTGGTTATAGCATTTGTTAATCTATAGTAAAACCGTAATACAATGATAAATGTAGTAATATTTTCTCTAGAGACTGGATACTTCAGGAAAAAGTACATTACGAGCATCATAATATAATTTTTTTTTAATTTTATTATCAATGAACAATGAACTTCATACTTATAATATCACACGGAGGAATATGTGGCGCTGTCTATAGGTAATCGTACAATAAAATAAAACTATTTCAGTTACGTAGGGCCTCGCGACTATGATTTATTAAGGGGCATTGTATAGGCAACTTTTTACTAAATTTAACATTAATGCTAAAATTTGTAAACAGCAAACCTATATTATATAGGAAATCATACAGAAAAGAGGGGTCTATTTTGGTATTTAATTTTTTATCTTCTATTATTTTTCAACTTCTATAATCCATATTAGTTCTATATTTTTGTACAAATAGACCCTTGGTATTTTCATCATCCTTTGTGCTCATAAAGGCCCGATTTCCATTCTGAAAGAAGTTTTGAATTCCTCGCCATATCTTCTGTGGTTTGTAGCATCGAGTATCGACTACTTTTACTTATATATATCTAAGGAATTTGTTAAATGTAAAGTTACTTTTACTTCCTACAACTCCCTGAAAAAAGGGCTAATTAATGTTTAAACTTCAAAGATTTTCCAAATTTTAATTTTTAATATCGAATAATCAAACTTATTTCGCGACTACACATATTTTGGAAGTCAACTGCACATTTTAAATTTCTTACCGTAGGTACAATTAATATACTAATGTATCTTAAAATAGAACCTGCGTCCTGCACTACGTGTAGGTATTGCTTTAAAAAAAAATTCACTAAATTATTTTATTTCAAATGACAGTTTATCGTGTACTCTGTTTTTATAGAACGAACCTGATTTATAATACGGTAACAATTCACGTATATAGTGTTTTTAGAACTATTTGAACGTTGGTCAAAGAGAGTGTAGATAGAAATTTGTTCGCTTGTCTATACTCATTGCCGACAGCTGTTTTTCAATATTGATAACGGTTAACTGTGTATTATTTTCGCGGTTTTTTTCATTCTAATTTATCGCTTAGTGTGCTCTTCTGGTTAGCTATTGTATATGTTTCGCCTCGTTCCGGTTGTGACGTTTGGGACGTTTTGTGGCAGCTGCAAATTATTTATTTTTTAATTCCACAGCGACTAGTCTACACGTCAACCATTTGCAGTTCCACGCTATAGTTTTTTATGTGCCGTGTAAGTATTACAACTGAAATACTGTATGAATTTGCAGATTAACGGTGTAAATAAAAAAATATATGTGTTACATACTTATTACTGATTTTTTTTTTCTTCAATGTATTCTCATAGCGCAATAATAACTGACAACCGATGGCGCCCGGAACGAGTACCGATGCCGAACCGCTGAGCATTCCACGCGAGTTTGGTATCAAACGCGAAAACAGCGAAGCTCCGGAACAAGACGAAAAGAAATTCAAGGCGCCTCCCATCGTCGAGGAACCCATTGTCAAACCCACCGTGCGATGTAAATATTGTTACAAAACCCAAACTGAAAGCGCAATCATGCCGCCTAACGCTGAACCGGAGTGCATTGTGTTGACCAACGATACGTTGGCCAATATTTACACGGACAATTTCGATTTCATTCAGCACAATCTCACTGATTTTAGTATATACGACGAAAACGGACACATGTGTTCTATCGACACGGGTATGATGGAAAGGAACATGGCGCTGTATTTAACAGGTTATGTGAAACCTGTTTACGATCATAGTCCGAGTATCGAAGAGGGGATCCCCGCCAAAGAACTGGGCCCAATACTGGAATGGTGGCTCTCTTCATACGACGGCGGCGACAAAGCTCTGATCGGCGTATCTACCGACTATGCTGATTATTTACTAATCGAACCACACCCTAAATATAAAAAGTATATGACGTCTGTCACTGAAAAAATACATTTAAGCAAGCTTGTTATTGAGAGCATATTAAATAATAGTGAATCGGACGATCCAACCTATGAAGATATTTTAAATTGCATTGTTAATTCTGTTAATCCAGCAACAGGAAATAATTTTACTGAAGAAGACCTTATTGCTCATGCTCAATTTGTTCTTGATCAAGTGACCGAATACGATTCAAACGATACGTATTACTTACCTTTAGCTGAAACTCAGTGTATCGACACATTAACTCAGCTTTCTGGTGCAGCGAAGCCTGTTAAAGCGCCGTCTAGAAGATTAGAAAGAGGTGGACATCGAACTCGAGGTGTTAAAACAGATGTTGCCAAGCGAGAATTTAGTAAAGCAACGACTACTGAATTAGTAAAAGAAGTATTTGAAAATATGTTTGCTGCCCAATTGGACGGTGAAGATAAAGAGAACGATGCCACAGTAAACTGCAATAAACTGATAAAAAATGTAATCGAAGACGCTTGTAATGTAAAAATTAAAACAGATGAAGAATCTGACGTTGATGATATTAACAACAGCCAAGTGATGTGGAAAAATAAAAAACTTCGTGAAATGATGTTTGTAGTTGTAAAAAATACTGATTTAGCAGTGCCGCTTATTGGGCGCATTGAATATTTCTACAAAACAAACTTTAAAGATAAGGCACACATTAGCTTATTTATGCATAGTTATGAAACGGTATTAGGTGAAACATCAGATCCGCATGAAATTTTCGCTTTAAAAAAATGTAAAAATATTGAAATAAATAATATTGACAGCATACTTAATGTTCATCAAAAACTTCCTAGTGATAATTGGTTTAAACTCGGTGGTTCAAAATTAGAAGATCTTATGGAGCCAGTTAATCGCAATGACAAACAATCATTTTTCTATCAATTGTGTTACGACAATGAACTAGGACGTTTCGAATATCCAGGTTGTTATTTGAATATTGAAGAAATGAAACTAAGCGAAAACTATTGTCGTAATTGTGACAACGAAAAGGTAGAAAAAAAATCACAAATGCCAGTACTTCTCGAATTTATTGAACAAGATAGTAAAATACTGTATTATTATAAAATTAAGTATAAACGCGAAGAATATAAAATAGGAAATTTTATTTATTTAGAGCCTGATATTTTTTTAAAAGCCAAAAGAGCAAATTTTGTTGATAAAAAGCGATTTGTGCATAGGGATTCAAATAAGAATAAAAGTCCTCAAGGACTTAGAAAAGTCGACGAAGACGAATACCCAGAGTATTATCGTAAAACTCTAGAAAACACTATGCGCGGTTCAAACGAAAACACTCCCGATCCATTTGAAATAGCTGAAATATTAGCCATTTACACTTTAGACAACGATAAGAAAAATGCTAGACTTATTGTACGGCGTATGTACCGATCTGAAAAAATACCCATAGAAGACTTTGCCAAAAATACCGACATGAACTTGTTACTTTGGTCAGAGGAAGAATTCAGAGTGACACATGAAAACATATGTGGGAAATGTTATGTGGCCTACATCAATAATATTCAAGAGCCTCTCACTTGGACAGCAAAGGGACCGGATCGTTTTTATTTTAAGAACAAGTATGATTTTTTGACTGACACTGTTGTTCCAGATCACGAGCTGCCCTGCTCGGCAAGACTTACTGGCAAAGAAGTTTACGTGAACTACAATTATAAATATGTAGACGAAGACAAAATACAATATATTCCTAGTTATCCAAAAGTCGAACCCTTGAGGGGCTTGGATATATTTGCTGGCTGTGGTGGTTTGTCGAGAGGCTTAGAAGACAGTGGATTGGTTAAAAGCAATTGGGCTATCGAGTGTGACGATAAGGCAGCGGCCGCATTCGGATTAAACAATCCTGAATCGACAGTATTTGTTGAAGACTGCAACTATCTCTTGAAACAAGCTATGGCTGGTAATTTGACTAACGAAAAAAACCAAAGAATACCACAAAGAGGTGAAGTAGACTTCATTTGCGGCGGGCCTCCATGCCAAGGATTTAGCGGTATGAATCGTTTTAACTCTGGTCAGTATTCATTGTTTAAAAATTCTCTGATCGTATCGTTTCTCTCGTATATTGATTTTTATCGTCCAAAATTTTTTGTTATGGAGAACGTTAGAAATTTTGTATCATTTAAGAGAAGCATGGTGCTCAAACTGACGCTCAGGTGCATCACTCGAATGGGTTACCAGTGTACGTTTGGCATTCTTCAAGCGGGTAATTTTGGAGTTCCCCAAACTAGGAGACGATTGATTATATTAGCCGCAGCGCCGGGTGAAAAACTACCACTTTATCCAGAACCCAAACACGTATTTAATCGTAGAGGTTCGAGTTTGAGTATTCAAATTGGTGATCATAAATTTAGAACTAATTGTAAGTACGATGAATCGGCCCCTATGAGAACAGTAACAGTTTATGATGCATGGTCTGATTTGCCCGAAATAAATAACGGTGCATTCAATGAGCGTATCACATATAAATCCCGACCGCTTACACATATGCAAAAACTACTCAGGTTTCCAAACCATCGTTTTAGCGAATCTGTACTGATCGATCACATTTGTAAAGACATGTCTCCTCTTGTTCAAGCTAGAATGGAACTCATACCGCTCGGTGAAGGCAGTGATTGGAGAGACTTGCCCAATATAGAAGTAAAGTTATCGGACGGAACAATGACGACCAAACTTCTTTACACGCACAACGACATTAAAAACGGAAAAGGCAAAAATGGCGCATTGCGAGGAGTTTGTCCGTGTGCTAGCGGAGACAAATGTAACCCGCAAGATCGTCAAAATAATACAATCATTCCGTGGTGCTTACCCCATACCGGTAATAGACATAATAACTGGGCTGGACTGTATGGTCGTTTGGCTTGGACCGGGTTTTGTTCGACTACCATAACTAATCCCGAACCAATGGGCAAACAGGGTAGAGTGTTACATCCTGAACAACATCGTGTCGTCAGCGTTCGAGAATGTGCAAGGTCTCAGGGCTTTAAAGACTCGTACATATTTTATGGACCTATTGTGAACAAACATAGGCAAATCGGTAATGCCGTTCCGCCACCAATGGGCACAGCAATCGGCTATGAAATAATTAAAGCCATGACTCAAAAACCCACTACTAAGGTAGTAACGTATGTACGAAAAACGGAGAAGGAGGAACATATTGAGATTGTAGTGAAAAAATTGTAGTGAACTGGTGTAGCTGTAGCTGTTTCCTATTGAATAGAAAATAGCTAAGACTTTTAATTTTTGTATGGTGAATTAAAAAAAATCATATGAATTCTTCGCTATGTGATTATTGTCTAATACCGCTATTATAACTGTATGCAAATAATTTTATTTTTTATAACCGTTCTTCAATTTTAAATTATAACGTATTTATTATGAACTCTATTTATATAGAAATGTATTGTATGTATTATGTAAGAAAATTATTTAACCTTAGCTGTTTTAGGCAATCTATAAATTATAACATAATTATTTTTATTTTAATTTAAGGGTGGATGATATTATTATCATCCTTTTTTATACAATAATATGTATATACTTGATTAATGTTTTCTTTTTTCGATATAGTTTTAACTTTAGGATTATTTTTTATTAGTTATTTTATGTTTAATGTATGCTCAATTTAATTGGTACATCATACAACTTGTATCGTTTGCCAATTCGTACTACTTTACATAATTTTAGTTTTTTATTAAATATGTATTACACATAAATATACCATTGTTTTAATATATATATACCATTCGTTTATTGGTAAATTAATTATAAATTAATGCATTCAATTACAGCTTTGCTTATTGTTTATTTTTAGATTCCATGTCAATTCTGTTTAGATTATTTTTGTCAACAATTGTATGTACATTTAGTATTTGTATTACTATTATTGTTTATTTATTCCTCCATTACATACAATTACATTTAAAATAAATGTATACTATTAAAACGGTGAAAAAATATGTATATTTAACAACTTTTGCTAAGGTTTTAAACCTAAAATGTATTATGTTTTTTCCAAGTTTTATAAGGAGAAACATAATTCAATTTTTAAGTAAAAACATTTATCTGTTAGTCAATGTTGAAAAAACGAATTGACCAAATGCCAAAAAAGCAAAATTGTATTTAAATAAAATATTATTTATTTTTCTAAATAATACATTTTTTCAAGTAATGCCTACCAGGTGATTCTTTTAACGCTCTACACCAGGTTACTCTTAAAATGATATTTAATAAGGTTACTATTTAAGTTTCAAAGTTGATAAAGTAAAGCTCTAGTAAATACTGAAAATAGTAAAAATTAGAATACTATCTAATATTGTACTATAGCATAAATTAAATTGTTTTCAAAAGGAAACACTATACAAAATATTTTAATAGTAAATTAGTGTAGGGCGGTAAGTAAAATGTATTTCAATTAAACTTTTATTTTATACGTTAAATAGAAATTAAAAATTATTTGATGCACTAAATAACAGTTTATTTCAAATATATCTAACTAATAATTTTTTATTTTAATTTAAAAAACCTAAATTACTTGGTAAAAAGTTTTTAAAAAGTATAAACATATTATTTATTTATTATTATGGGCCTAACAATTGATTTTTTTTATTTATATTACGTATAAAATTGATGATATTTCTCTTTTCTTGAACACTAAATAAATACACAAAACTATTAACAATATTGTCAGTAATGTTATTTAATATATTTAGTGACCATTTTCATGAAACATTTTTTTCAAAAAGAAAATAATAACATTCCAAAACTATAACGTTATAAATAATGCTTTCTTTTAGATTTTGTGTAACGTCTTGACATGTAATGGTCGGCACTCGATTATAAATAAAACTGTATAAGAATAATGTCCAACTCTAACAAAACACAATATACAACTATGATTTATTTCAATGATGTTCATTTTTGTAAATACAATTTTTAGTAAACATAAAATGTCGTATACTCTCTTCTAAATAGATACAAAATATGTGATCTGTTAAATTAAAAAAAAAAAAATGAATTTGATATATGGTGTAAAAATTTTAACGACTGAAAAAATAACAATCACGTTACGCACGCAACATTTACAAATATAAAATAACATTAACATTATTACATATTAATCGAAAAGTCAATGGGATATTGTGGAAAATAAAGTTAGTTTCGACATCCGAAAGGAATTTAACGCCTGTAAAAATTAATTTATACTTGTTAGTCTATCCAATATAATTGTGTCATGTTATTTATAGATTATAACACAACAATACAAAATAAAAGAAAAATATTCAAGTTTTCACCAATAATAAGTATATGTTTGAAATAATTATTCACACGATTAATTGATTGACGTCAGAGTGAAATCAATATTTGAAAACTGTTTTTTTTTTTTGGCACGAAATTTATAACTTTATTGCGCTTAACAAAATTGACAGCCTTTAAAATAAGAACATAATATGGCTATCTTTAATTTTTTTTTTAAATTAATAATAATAAAGTAATTTGTAATTCAGTCAAAGTCGAAATTGGTGTATACAGTTGTTTTAACATATTGAGAAAGGCGTTAAGCGGTAAATGAACATAACAAATCAAGACATATAATTGTCATTATACAATTATAGGATTTTCCACAAATTTTATAAACATCCGCATGTACAATATTAATATTATAAAAACATTTTTATAACTAAAATTAAGAGTAATAATTATTTGATTTATTAAACACGCCAAGAAACGATTGTGCACACTAACATTCACAAGTCATGGATAAATGCAATAAAAAAAGGTTTGTTTCGCTTAATTCAGTACGTAAAAATTATATATGAGCGGGATGAGACACGTTGGTGTATATAAAGTGATAAAATACATAATATACAATTTGTTGGGGATACATATTAATACTAATAACTACAATATAATATGAATCTTATGACTGGCTCGAATATATAATCTGGCTTTCACCTAATTGATCATTTCTAAATATTTTTGTTTATGCTTGTTAAGCATTTCAGTGACAGTGACGAGTTTCTTCAGCGATGGTTGAGTTTTGCTGAGATTCTGCAGTTCTGTCAAATGTGTTTTACAAATATGATGTAAAGTACCCAAATTACGAGCAGGATCTCCTTTTATCTTTTCGCCTTCGCACTCTGGTTTCTCAGACACGCTGGACAGTTGATCTAAAAACACCACCATTCTCTCTTTGTTTTTTAATATGAATGGATTTACTACTTCCATGTATGGTTCTTTGCCGCCAAATTCGACGAGGTTTGCCAGATTTTGTAAGCACTTGGCCACCATGATCAGAGATCTGGCCGCCATAGGTGGCGGTGGCTCGGGAATGAGATTGAATTGTCTGGGGTTTAAAATAGCCGGACACAGGAGACGCAAAAAGATGAACCCTGACACAACTCGTGTTCTTACTAATCTTTCGTAGGGCCATTTGTTCATGACCATTCTCTGCAGGCATCCGCATATATAACGTAAAGTCCGTGGACACGCATCGGCAGACATGAAAATAGATTGGGTGATTTCATCCAACACTACGAGGAGAAATTCAGCATTATCACAAGCATCGTCGGGCGAGTCCATCTTACACGGATTTAACTCACATGATTGTTTACTATCTAACAATTTAAAAACAGTTTGTTGTACGGCGGACTTGAGAAATTCTGAGCACATGGACTTCATGTAGAGATCCATCAGAGTAGTGGTGAGTGAAGCGGCCCTAAACAACGTAGTGGTTTCATCTTCTTTAAATATTTCTACGTCATTAAGATTCCTTAAAAGTTCAGCTACTTTTTTCTCGTGTTGAAATATTCCCATCAATGACGTAGCCAAAGGCATTCGGTCTTGATGGCATAGATCTGCTAAAGCTCTAACTGCTTCTAGTTCAGGGTCGAGAATAAGCTGTTGCATTGGTGAATATTCTTCAGTCGGCATGATTAGATCGTGTAAATACCTAGTACGCAACCGTAATGATCCCCACTCTCCTATAGGCGTAACAACGCCGCTCAACGGATACCAGTCCTCTACTTCGGCACCATTATTCAGTGTATTTAGATCCACAGTCAATTCAGCCACTTCAGTATCTTTAGACCTTTTTCCTTTGTTATAAACGCTTATTGTAAATGTCAAAACATCCAAAGGAACGTCATCCAGGGCAAACTCTTCGTCGAAAACGGGATCAGGCCCACTTTTGGCTCGAGTTTTAGCTACTTTTACTTGATTTAAAGAAATTATACAAAACGGATTTGGCACAAATTTAAATGGCAACCTATGAGCATCAAGAATGTGTAGTTGTAAAAATCGTAATTCACGTAATTTTTGCGCTTTAGGAACTCTGGACAGTTGAGTGACGCAGTACATTCTTAGAGCTGAAACCCATTCTTGAAATGAGTCCTGCGATGTCGTAGACAAGTAAGTTATGGTGGCCAAACAAGGTAATGCTCTCTCGACCAATTGAAAGCAATTAGGCTTATCAAAGACGCTTTCGTGTACAGGATATAAGTAAGCGCAACTTAATTCAATCAAACCTTTTGGTTTAGTTCTTTTAGGGTTGTCATAGAAACATAAATGAGTATCGACACCATCAATGATTAAAACAAAATATAAAGATTTCCATTTCTTATTTTTATCACTTTTTTTGTACATATACCCTTGCATTTTAATTCCTTTGACTTTCTTAAGTCCTACTTGTTCACGGCATTCTCGAAGTGTCGCGTAAATTTTTTCGGCCTGCTGCTCTTCTTTTTGTTTAATTGGCAACTCTAGAAGATCGTTTGAATTTCGACATACTGGCAAAACTAGAGTATGACCTTCGACTATTTGCTCTTTTCTATATCTATTTATGACAGCGTCGAGACATTCAAACGTACGACCACCCATTAAATACCTCACACCTTTCTTCTCAATTCGAAATCGTTGAATTTGATTGTTGACGTGAAAGAATAGTGAATAGTCGCCCGGAGAATTGTCGCTGGGCCTGACAAGAAAACTTCCTGGACCCGATTTGACTAGCATATCGACAGCTTCGCTTTTGGTCACTCCAGGATGGAACCAATCAAACACTGTGTTAGGATCAATATTTTCATCCAAATTGTCTACCTGTAAAAACAAACATTGTATTTAGACAAATTCTTAACATTTAACGTCAACGTTTAGATTCTTATCTACCTATTGTATTTACTATATACATTTTTTGTAAACTACTATTTGCATATCAAACATCTTAGTACATATTTTTTTCAATGTTAGTTGTTACACTTACTAAATCTCTAAAAATCATTCCCTGTTCGCCCGTCCTATGTGCTGTTACCCAAAGCCATCCATCTCCCATATCGTTGTGAACGAAGAAAATGTCTCCTTTCTGAAAAGTCAGCTCATCAGTGTCCGGCATTTTAGTGTATGGCAAAATAGCCACCACTCGTTTTTTATCATTGACGGGCTCCGGAGGTGCCACAGGGTGCACTAATTTCTCCCTCTTCAACAAGTCGGAACAATTTGTATAATAACCAATCAGATCGGATAGACTGTCAAACTGACGTCCTCCAATGTAAAAATCTCCACACACTGCCGTCACTCTGAAATGATTGATACCCGTACGTCCCAAATAGGACAATACATACGAACCGGGTTTGCGATCACTTTCGCGTACCAGATAACTACCCGTCTCGGACGCTTGCCACAACCGTTCTTCCGCTGCGTATCGACTCAACCGGCCGTGGTACCAGAGATCCTCGGGTGGTGCCTGTAACAGCGATACATTAGAGCCGTCTGGTTCGTCATGTTCGAGGAAAGGATCGAAATCCTGATCTAGCACGTCTTGGCTGTCCTCGCTGTTGAGGCTCAGAGTGGCCTGCAGCTTGTCCCGTAACACCACGCCTGGGCCACCTCTAATGAACTCGGCCATAGTTTTCTTTATGAAGTCAATTTTGGATGTCCACCTTATGTACCTTCACATGTCGTCGGTATTCACCGACCGTTTCAGGCGGCCACGCGTACCCACCCACTGACCGGTCGCGATCCACCCAAACCCTTTCGAAATTACTGTAAACGCCAAGCAACAGAAAAATGATCAAATCAATGTAGATAATTTCCAAGTAATTGATCCGACAAGAATGGTTTGCTGATAAACATGATTCATTGTTGTGATAACGTTTTCGGATTATCAACTACTCAAATGACATCAACGGTGCAAAGCGATTCGGATCGACGACAAACACTCAAATCGCTTACCAAACGGCGAGATAACGCTTACAAACTCACCGACATGGAAGCCGGGATAGGGTATTATGATAAAAATTAAATAAACGCTTCCAAAATATTTTCAAAAATTTCTTTTCTCGTCGTTTTACATTACAATCCAATTATACTTTTCTTTTTATGTGAGATTTTTATTAGCTACAAAATGGATTCAAAAATGGACACAACTCCGGTAGAAGAATATCCCCCTGTGGTAAGAGCGTGTACTGTCAAATTATTTCTCCTTCATAAATACTAAGTACGGTAGCTAATAACTCCAAAATCGATACCTACTTGAGGATATTAGAGGTAAAATATAGGCAACTTTTGGCAACATGTTTAGAACTATAGTGTTTATGGTAATGAGAGTTCTCACAGTCACTTCTATAATAGAAATTAAAATTGCTTAGCATTAGAACCTTTTGGTCGTCTCAAGTTTTTTGCATTCCCTAGTAGACCTACAACAGTAAAATAATTAGCGTTGAAAAGATGATAAGTTTAACTGTATGTTTTGTTGAAACTGTTTGTAAAAAAAATAATTTATTTAACCTTAAAAACTGCTAGGTATTTTTACTAGTACTTTTTCCCCGATGAATTAATGTGACGTCTAAGCAGTGACAAAGTGTCATAGGAGACAAATTCACCCATTTTTTTAAATTTTATTTAAACAACACATTTTTAAGGACAATATTTTTTTAATTGTCTCCCTGACTAAGTCTAAGTAATATAAGTATGTATGTTTTAACAAAGTATAAGTTACTACTGTACATTGTGTGTCGTGTTGTACATATTTTAATGATATTGCGTTTGTTAATTTTGCAGAATTGGGGCAATGAGAAATTAGAAGAAGCACAAGAAGCGGTCAGAGAAAACCAATGGGATGTCGAATCTTGGGCGATATTGCTACGTGAAGCTCAAACCAGATGGATCAATGATGTCCGATCTTTTTTTGAAAAGCTTGTTGAAACTTTTCCAACGTCAGGCCGTTATTGGAAATATTACATAGAAATGGAGGTAAACAAAATAAAGTGGATCGATTGATAACAACAACCGTCTGAAATTTATTCTACTTCAAATTGTTTTATTCAATTAAGTGATTGATCTTGATTTGAGAGATAGACTTTCATTTTGACTGTTCTTTTCCAAAAAACCACTATAGAAAAGCTTACTATAACTAATTGGTCTAGCGACTAAAAAGATGAAAAACCAAAACCAACATTAAACCTAATACGATCAAATTATACATTTTCAAATTGTGTGTACATTATTTTTTTGCTTTATAGTTTATTGTTTTTTAATATTTATATCAATTATTATGTTTAGTCAAACTTAAAAGTATTAGTTTAGACTGGTTGTCTTAGTCAAACATTTAATTGTAAATGAAAAACATACATAATGATATTTTTAAACTTATTTATTGTTTTAATTTTTAGATGCGAGGTCGAAATTTTGAGAGAGTAGAAAAGGTAAAATGAATTATGGTTGAATTTAATTAAATCAGAGTTGGCAAAAATTTGGATTTCTTTTTAAATCTTTATCCAAATAAGTTGTATAAAACATTTCTGGGAGAAAAACTCAGGGGAGGTTTTTTTGCCAACACTGTTTTAAATACATTGTAACATTAATGTTTTAAGATAGTTACATTTTTATCTTTTTTTTTAGCTATTCCAACGTTGTCTTGTGAAAGTGCTCAACATTGAATTGTGGAAACTTTACCTCGCTTATGTCAAAGAAACCAAAGCTCTTTTGCCTACTTACAAGTATTTGAAAAAATATGTTTCATAGTATTTTTTTTTAATGAAATAAGTCTGAAATTGTAAGTTTTCATGTTTTCTTTAAGGGAAAAAATGGCACAAGCATATGATTTTGCATTAGAAAAAATTGGCATGGACATTCATTCACACAACATATGGCAAGACTACATAACATTTTTGAGTAGCGTCGAAGCAGTTGGGTCGTATGCCGAAAATCAAAAGATCACAGCCATCAGAAAGGTAGTAATTTTTTAACCGTCAGTTGTAATGGTTCTTAACATGTTTTGTATTTAGGTATACCAAAGAGGTGTTGTGAATCCTATGATAAGCATAGAGCAACTATGGAAAGAGTATTTAGCGTTCGAACAGAGCATTAACATTATGATCGCCGATAAGATGATGATCGAACGGAGTAGGGACTATATGAATGCCAGGAGAGTTACCAAAGAGTACGAAGTAGTTATTAGAGGATTGAATAAAAATTTCTTAAGTGTTCCACCCACAGGCAACATGGATGAGATGAAGCAGGTAAGAAAAAAATGTTAAACTTATAACTGGTACGGTGTTAATCACCACTTTATAATGTAAATCATATGACGCTTCTTATCACTTACCAGTTACAGGTTAAGCCTTTGACTTTAATGTTCATCCAAATTAATTTGTGATATCATATTTGTAAACTCTTATAGGTGGAACTTTGGAAAAAGTACATAATCTGGGAAAAATCAAATCCCCTGAACACTGAAGACACGGCACTCATCACGAGAAGAGTGATGTTTGCTTTCGATCAAGCTCTGTTGTGTATGAGCCATCATCCCGATTTTTGGTACGAAGCAGCACAGTTTCTAGATGGAAGCTCAAAAATTTTAGCCGAAAAAGGAGTAAGTATAATAATAATAACTAAGTTCAAGGTTCCATTTCCATAACACATTTTGTGATGCGAAAATGCCCACACAAATTTTAGATTGACCCCAGACTAATAACGTATTCAATAAACATATTTTTACTTTATAATGTATTGAGAAAATAAATATATCTCTGTTATAAAATATTATATGTATATATAATATTATATGTAACTTAACTATTTACTTGTTTTGACGTTTTTTATAGGACATATCGGCCGCTAAACAATATAGTGATGAAGCATCTAATGTTTATGAAAGAGCAATTGGAACGGTCTTAAAAACAAGTATGTTATTGCGTTTCGCTTATGCCGATTTCGAGGAAGGTCGAATGAATTATGAAAAAGTACACAATATTTACAAAAGTTATTTGGAAAACGAACATGCCGATCCAACCTTGGTATAAATAATAAAAAATTACTATTTTGTTTCACAGATCTATTGTATTTTATGATTTTATTTTTAGACTTACGTCCAGTATATGAAGTTTGCCCGTCGAGCTGAAGGTATTAAAGCGGCACGAGCAGTATTTAAAAAGGCCAGGGAAGATTCGAGGTCCAAATATCATGTATGCGTATCAGAATGTTTATTTAATATTAGTTAACCGATTGATTTATTAAGTGAAAACCTTAATTTTTGTCTTCTGAGCCCAAAAACATATCCATGATTCTATGTTTTTATATATGACCAGAATATTAACTAATTATGTTTTTAATAATTAGGAGAACTTATAAGTTAAAAAAAAAAAACAATAAAAATGTATAATATTTACACTTGGTTAGTTTCCAAAAACTATAAAAAATATTTTTAAATGTGAAATCTGTGTTTTCCATACAATTATTTGTCTTTGGTAACCATGCATTTTTTTTCCAGGTGTACGTCTCTGCCGCCTTGATGGAATATTACTGCAGTAAAGATAAAAACATAGCGTTTCGCATATTCGAGCTTGGTTTAAAAAAGTATTGTGACAATCCTCAATACATTCTCAGCTATATCGACTACCTTTCCCATCTCAATGGTATTTTTCTATTATAGAATAATAGAAATAACTTTTTAACATATAAAATAATCTATATTATTTACAGAGGATAACAATACAAGAGTATTGTTCGAAAGAGTTTTATCAAATACTAGTTTAGAAGCGGAAAAATCTGTGTAAGTAATGTACTATATTAATTGAACATTAGTTCAATCTGCCAGTATGTAGTTGGAGTCTTCATAATTCATTTTTGTTATTTTAATCACCATTTTGTATTACATATTCAAAGTTTAATTTATAATTTAACCTTAGATTATAAAACAAAACCAATACCTTCTCGATTTCATATCAAAGCTAAAAATAACAACCCTTTCCAAAAAATAAAGAAAGTGTACAAGTTTAATAATACTTAAAAGTAGACACGGTTGCGTTGAGACCAGACGTATATAAAACACAATATAATTTCTGTAATCAGACCAAGTCATATAAAAATATAAAAACGCGATTACAGTTAATACAATAATTTGTATACAATTTAAAAAAATTACCAGCTGGTAATATTTACTTATTTTGATTTTTTACAAAAATTTTGGTCAGATATATGGAGCGATAAATTTAATTAGAAAGTAGCCACATTATTCTTTGGAAAATAATTGTAATTTTGTAGTTTATCTTATTGAAAATATTATTGTCGACATTTTATACTCAACTTTTATCTGAAAATTCTAATAACACCATTTATCGATTATAAAATTAATAGTTTTTACCATACACAACAGTTTTGCATTGGAGTAGGTGATTTTATCGCTTTCAATTGTAATAATTCCTAAAAACATGCGACTTCTCCGATCTCTATATGCTCTGGTTAGGATAGTAATTATTATAAGATGTACATAATAATATGTGTTTATATTTTAGAGAAATTTGGAATCGTTTTCTTGAATTTGAATCGAATATTGGAGATTTGTCGAGTATATTGAAAGTAGAAAAACGAAGATCGGCCGTTCTTGGCAAAGTAACTAATAGAGTTGGCTAAAATAATCTAGCTCAGTTGGTCTTTTTTAAAAAAAAAAACTGGGTTATTGCTGACTGAATAATAAATATAACGTAAAATATGAAATATATGTATTTAATTATTATTATTTTCTTAGCTCGTAGAGTTTGAAGGTAAAGATACTGCTCAACTTGTGGACAGATACAGATTTTTGAATTTGTTTCCATGCACGAGTCCCGAGTTGAAGTCGATTGGATATAACGAAGTTTCCAATACGGCATCAAAAACGATGCACAACTCGCAGCAAAGATCTGCCATTACTGATGGATTAGATGATTTGGAAAACCGACCGAATGAGAAACAGTTACCGGAACCCGATGTTTCTCAAATGGTACCATACAAACCAAAACTGAATGCATTTCCGGGCGAACACATAGTGAAAGGTAAATTGGTTACTTGAACGGATAACTTGTATTTTTTTATTTTTAATAAAAAAAAATAAACATTGACCATCATTTAGGAGGAACGTTTCCACCACCTCCAGCTGCTTGTCAACTTATGCAAGTGTTGCCGCCTCCTGGATGTTTCCACGGGCCATTTGTTTCCGTAGATATGCTTATGGACATTTTCCATCGACTCATTCTTCCTGAAAAAGGTGAGATTTTCTATGTAATTGAAAATCTTGTAAGAGAAAAAAGCTTAAGGGGATTGAATGTGGTCTATTTTTGGACGTTTTAGACCTAAAAGCCTGACAAAATTATGGTCCAATTCAATTCTGTAAAAATATTTGAGTTTATCGATCTGTTTTCTAGGTTATTGTGGGAATTTATTTTTGATATTTCAATTAAAATTATGTTTAAATTCTGTTTTACTTAAGATTTTTTTTATAATTCTAGCACCAGCGCCAAAAGCGGATAACGGTTGTGACGTTAAATTGTTTGATACTGCCGTTTCGGTGCAATGGGCAAACGAGGATTTGGGTGCCCATGGCGGACCTAACAAAAAGAAACGGAGAATAGGAGGACTATCGGGTAAAGGGGAAGATAGTGACGAGGACATAAATTTAGCTCCTCCGGCCAATGATCTTTACCGTGCCCGACAGCAAAAACGTGTAGTGAAATGACATGATGTTCGGCTGTCCATCACTTCCAATTAAGAGGAACCAACTGCGTTTACACAAATATTTTGACTGTACGTTAAACGTAAATATTTATCCTATTCGATTATTATTAATCATAATTATTTTATAGTTTTTTATTTATATTGCATGTATTTTTTTGTATGATATTTGTCCAACTGCGACCGAGTAGCTCTAAACTTATATTTTTGTACATGAAGTCGTGAATCGAGCTCGACTATCTGACTTGAGAAATTCTAGCCTGCTTAGAGTCTGATGTATGTAATTGACAAATAAATGGAGATACTTATTATACTCTTGGAAAGCAGTGAGAAAATAAAACAAATCAAAGCATTCGTTTTTAATACGTCTATATTTTTAACCTGTTTTTCATTATAACGAAAATTGGGGGGGGGATAAGTATGTACAAGGTTTTGCAAGCTTTGGGTTAATTTAAATAAATAATTGTTGCTAAAATTTTAAATGTTCTATAGTTTATAGTTGTTTGTGTATAATATGACATATCTTATTTTCTTTTATTGTCTAATAATTATTAATTTCGATTATGAAACTTATCAAAACTATTTATTTTAAAAAAATCGTCTAGAAAAATATTTTCAAAGAATTATTCATATTAATAATTATAACTAGGTAATAATCTACAACATAATTAAATACATTTTATGATTCAAAAATATGTAGGACTTTAAAAATGAAAGTCCTAGCATCTAGTTGAAATCCTTGAACTTTTATTCCTTTAAACCACTTTTAAAATTTAAATTATCATTTTCCTTTTTCAATATTTTTTTTTTCCAAAAATGAATATTGTGTTCCAGACGGCAAAACTAACAAATAATGTAAATTTTAGTTTAGAAATGTTTACAACGTTAATATTAAATGATGAATAATTTGGCCAGAAACGTAATGTCTTAAAAATGATGTTAAAACTAATTAAGTAAATAAATTAAATATTATAACAATATTTAAAAAATAAAATTTCTGACCAAAAATGTATAAAAAAAATTATCTTCCCCCGCCCCCACATACACAGCAAAAATTATTTTTAATTATATTATGTTGATAATAATTGATTTTTTACCAAAATTTGATTTAAAAATATGGTAACAATTATTATTGTTATAAAATATCAAATTTAATTAGTATATTTTTGGACCGTTTTTCATTGAATCATTTTGAAATCGCCTAACGTTTCCCATTAATACTAATAATTATGAAAATGAAAACCTGCTGAACATTTTTATGGGACAGGATATTTATACAAATTACCTGTTTTTGTTCATTTGGTCGAGGTTACAAAAAAAAACAACTCGGACGTTACAAATGGGGTTACAAATGTCGGAAATGTCAATATTTTTCGACGGACGAATAATATTAAAATGACGTATAATATTCTTTAAAAAAAAACTGGCTAAACACAATTAGGTGTTATTATACTGTTATAGTAAATGTGAAAAAACAGAATTTATTATTAGTATGCATGTAGATATTACCAGACAATGTTGTCATAACGGCCAGCGTTAGCGCCAGCAGATAACGCCCACAAAATGTTTGCGATATTTAAATTTTAATTGTGTATTTATATTATTATTATTATTGTTGTTCTTTTATCGTGTGTACAAACATCAACAAAACGCGAGCCAAACAAACGGATCAAATAATATTATTCTTTTGTGAGAACTATGAAAACATACTAACAATTTGTACTGTTTCATAATCAAATAAAAATGTTCATATGGTTTAGTTATTAAAACACAGCAGTTGCTATTTTGATAATATATTCCAAATGTTGAGCTTTGGGTGCTCGTTTAACTTGTGACGACTAACCATTTACATAATATTATAATTATACTATATATAATTATATTGATGTTGTTTGCTAGACAATTTTCGACTTAATGATCTATTAAGATAAAAAGTCTGAAACGAGCGAGTTCGTTTCAAGGTCTATGGAAACTAATTATTTACTTTTTTTTACCTATAAAAACATATCGTATTCGTAAAACGCGTTGAGAAATAATTCTGAAACTCAAATGCGTTTGTAATTTGTGAATTTACACTACTTCGGCTGTAGACATTTGCGTACAAATAAGTACATTTTCAGATTTTGAACGTACCCCAACTCTAAATTAAACGTGGGCAAATCACCATGCTTTTCTTCGCCGAATGGACGTTTGACTGCATACTAGATTCACTTTGATTTATTTGACCTTTTTGAAACAAAATCACACCTTATTTTCTGGAAATATTCAGGTATTGTTGCTGTTTAATATATTGTGTATGTTTGGCCTGAAATCCTTGAAAGTTTAATGACATTGGTATTGTTATATATTTCAAGAAATTGACATTGTTAATAAACATAATAATAGAATGGGTACGGCCAAAAAAAACACCATTGTAAAATCAACTCTTCTCCAGCTTCGCGTCGAAACTATAATACTGAACGATCCTCATTGGATCTTATTTTAAATTAGTTATAATATATATTGTAATGTATCCCAAAGCTGCGAATAGACTGATTTTCAACGTAAAACATTTTTATTTATGTGTTCATTTCAAAATTTTTCTTATGAAAATATTAATTCTGTCATTTTGTCATTGAGGAAAAAGCAGGGGCGTAGCTAGGAATTTTTTCGGGGTAGGCTCACTATAAACCATTGATAAACAAAGTTATTAATGATTATTCTTATTAATAATTAAGTTTTTTTTCTATATATGTGTAGACAATTTTGGGTAGGCTCGGGCCTACCAGGCCCACCTACTGGCTACGCCCCTGGGAAAAAGGTCCAATGATCAAAGGATCACTACTATACCAGAGTAACTTTGTTGTTTACTATTATTATTGCAGAATTCAACGGATGTGCTTTATAATGGCAATTTGAAAAGCAGAACTCACTATGAAAGGAAAACGCAATTGTAATTTGTTAAGTTTAAACAATTTGGCATGGGTTTCAAACGACCGAGCCAAATTCCCAGACAGACCTAACAAATATGACCGGAAAATAATACCTTTGGTCCCTATTAGATTAGATTAGATTAGACATTGACGAATAATATATCATGTTGATGGTATACAATTACGTCAGTTTATTTACCATTCTTGAGATCAAATAAGACATTTATTGAATAATTTTAATCTAATTTTACGAAATGCTCGTGTAGACGATTTTGGACTATTATCGATTATCCACGTTTATGGTATGAATATTAAACGACTCTCTGTATCTATCGTACAAGACCTGTGTGGATCCGATACTGCCAAAACTTTTTTTGTTTCTTTATTGCATTTATTTTCATCGACCCAACGGTCACATTTCGTCTCAGAAGTATAGCGAAGCAGCAGTATTACCTTGTATACAGTGTGGTAACCATATAAAAACTTGTGTTATGCATTATGAACGTCGTCGTCGGAAAAATAAATATGCACAAGACACATTATTATTTTGAGACGTTCGTAAGGTCAAACCGTTTAATATAAAAACAAATCATAATTTACTTGTGTATCGTAACCGTTTGAATGCGGATACCAAATTTGGAATGTGGCCAAATCCCGACGTCAGGAAAACTGTTATACCTACATGCAATGTAGGGAAATTTAAAGCAGGTCATTATAATGAAAGTTTTTTAAAGAGATAAATGATCTCTCCTTGATTTAGAGGTTAAGCGTGACGTATTTTAGATAAGAAAATTTGTACATTACCGTTAAACGTTTTTTTATTATGCATAATTATTTACCTATAAAGCGTTACATTATTACACGTTTTATCCAATTTTTTTTTTAATTGGTGCGACGAATCGTTAAATCATAGTTGAAAATAACAGCTTAAGCTACGATTCAAATATTATTAATTTAATATACACTTGATATATTTTTAGAATGTACCTCTTACCTATTTAAGCTTTATACCCAGAATGAAATAAACCAGAAAGTCGGTCATAGATGACATACTGAAACCGCGGTTAGGTTAGGTCACTCGATATATTTGGAAAAACTGAATTTTATTGAAAAGATCTTGTATATTTATTTTTTTTCCAAAAGAAATTTGTTTATAAGTTACAATTTTGAATGAACACTGAACATTACACACATATCAAATTTATTTATTCGTATGGTAATATTTCAAATAAAAATCTCTAGTTAACTGCTGTGCCTGTGACGTGTTTCTCTTATGCACATCTGGTTGAGTCAATATTGTACAAAGTATATAATCGTATTGATTGATGAGTAATTAACATATTGACCTAGTTAATAATCCTAAAATGGTTTTGCTATGAAATTTTCGTTTTTACGAATACAACCGCACCTATGTTAACAAACAAAAAAGGGGTATGAAGAATTCTGTTCATCATAAAATTATATAATGACTTACTCAGAAGCCAACTATATGCCGTAGCAATCGTCACAAAACGTCTTCTATTATTTTGTTTAATAGGTAGGCATTATTGTTATTACTGGTAAGTTGTACGTAATAATAATTCAAGTTAAATTTAATAATCGTCTAATTTGTATAAAGTTAAGTACCCAATAAAAATATCATTCAAAAAACATAATAATACCGTCTCGATTTCATAGAAATATTTTCAAGTTCAACATCTGTTAATAAAGTTGTCTCGGAATTAAACGTTTCTAGGTAAGTATAACGAACGATAATATTATTATTTTTCCAATTTGAATTTTGATTACAACACAATTAAAATATATTGCCAAATCGTTTATGTCATCAACATAATACTATATTGATAACTTAAATAATAATATTATTAAAGTGATCGACGTCTTAAAACACAACAACGTTTAAATTGTAAATAAAGCTTTCAACTTGGCAAAACTGAAAAGCGTATCAAAACAATGAAGCTTTCATATTATAGAGGTGCAATTGAAGACCTTGAAAATTATCTTTCATCGCATATACTTATCATAACAGTAGGAATTATGAGGCACAACCATCGACAGAGACGGTCATCTTTCGAAATCTTTGATCACAGGTCGAATGATTTTCGAAACGATAAAGTACTCAATTGTGTCTGGTACACGTTAAAATTCGAATAGTAGCTTATAAAAGTCATTATATGGTCGATATAATAGCAATTATTAGATATTACAATTAACGTTTATTTGTTATCGTTCGGACGAGAGAAAAATAATGGTAGTTTTAGTAAAATTAAGTTGATTACCTAATGGCTGTTCTCACCAGCTAGGCTTAACACTTAAGTGGGATTAGCCTGTAATTTTAATATTGTCAAAACAAAATATTAGTTTATAAGTTATAACAGACAGATACGAAGTAAAATGAGTAAGTCGTAATATGTGCGTGCTTTACTTAAATCTAGTTGGTAATATTTAGTA